ATTCGGGATTTGAAATCAAATGAAATTTTTACAATATTTTGAGTGTCCTTTTGTAGTTGTTGTAGCATCGGGAGCAAGTATTTTGAGAGATTGTATGTCGGTGAGTTGGTGAAAACTATTACTGGTCTTCATGGAACTGTGGGTTTATGTATCTTTGGTTGACCGTAGAATCTTAAAGGTACATAAGATTTTGGTTTTAGTGTAAACCAGAGAGAATTTCCAAATTTTGGTATCATTTCTTGCGGGAGTCTCTTTGTATTTAGTTTAATTTTGTTGAATTCAGCGGATTTCTTATTCTCTTCAATAAGTAAGTATAGTCCTTCAGATAGGTGTTCAATCGTCTTCTATTCACAGTGACGTTTCCCTTGTCGCCTTTGTTATAACGATGCTTTTGTCTTTCTTGATATATATTTCTGAATAAATTATATTATTGCCAAGCGACCCATTAGTTGCCTCTTTTTATGCTTCCACTCAGGGCCAGTGAGTGATGTCATTCGATGGCCTTCTTAGAGTATGTTCAATCCATATCCGATTTCTCCCAAATATTTGTCGACCGATCGGCTCTTGGTTGTTTTTCTTTGTTGTCATAGTTTCTTATTACTGATTCTTTCTATTTGGCTATTTAATCTTCAGTATGGAGCCAGCGAACGCAGTTAACTGTTGATAAAGGTCAGTAACTTGTTACAGAATCCCCTTCGTGACACTCAGTGCAAGTTTCTGACGGATGGAGAACAAGTGACTGACTGACTGACTGACTGATTTCACATTTGTGTTGAAAATCCCAATCTTGCTGTTCATGCTGGCTGAGTGCAGACGATTTCCAAATTGAATTCAGGTTGAGGTAGACGTATCTTGCCCTTCCGATTCTGGCTGTGACATCTTGAAGTCATATAGATATATACAAACTAACGATCGCACAGACTAAGAATATTGTCGCTGAAGAGGTTAACTCTTCAGTATCCGCCTATTTGTCCTAAAACTGTAGTCGTATCTGAGAAACGTCAATCAGCGAATTCAACCATCAGAGAGAGAGAGAGAAATTATTCTTCTACAGTTTTCCTTTATAATTATATAAAATTTCTAGAACTTGGAATCTCTGCAAGCAAATCGAAGTTTGCGATTTGTAATTTAAGCAGTCTGAAGTCATATTGCAATGCAGATTCCTTTGGAAACAGAAATCACTGAAGTAACGGTATATGATAAGCTTCACATCATAAGCGGCAATCAAGAAAGTAAGCCTGAGTGCATGAGTAAGCGAAATACCATCCGGTCATTTCGCTTATTCTAGGTGAAGCTAATCAGCAATATGCACAGTCCGAATCATTTCAGAGAACCGAAGCAGTTTCACCTCCTGTTGAATTTTGATGAAAGACATAAAAATGCTGAGTAAACTGCATATCGTTCATAGAATAATGGATTACTGTCACCGAATTGATGCTCTAAGCTGAATTATACCAGATACTCGGTTGATGTGCTCGGTCCCAGATGGGTGAAACAGATATCTGATGTTTATATCCCTTTTATTTGTCAGCGAATACTGCTAGTTGAATTAAAAGTATCCCACTACTTATGTCATTCAGTTAGTTGTATGTAGCACAGAATGATATTAAAGTTTATGATAGTTCCGAATCTGTGTTGAATCTCTACGTTGTCATTATACAAAAAGGTTTCATACCAATCTAATGATCATGTCATCGGGTGCATTGATTGAAGTACCCGATTGAATCAGTTAGTATTTTAGCGTCATTAAACGGCCTTTTCATCGTATGCCCTATCGATATTTGTTGAGTGGTCAGCTCTTGTTTGGTTTGTTCTCAGCCAGAGTTTATTGTTGCTAATGCGTTTTGGTTGGCCGGCCATTTCATTTTTTAGAATGAAGCCAGTGATATGTCAACTATTCATCAATGTTTGTAATGTCTGTTGCAAAAATGCCATCCAGAAAAGATAAGCGATATGGAAGTGTGACGGCGAACTAGCTTAAAACCTATTGTGTAAATAATATGCAGAAGGCGATTAAGACATGCTGTGTATATTCTAAAGAAATAACCACGTGTAACCACATCTCAAGCTGATGCACTGAACTCTGATGAGTATCGACATGGTAGGCATGAAATAAAAGCATGTGTGCAGTCATTTATGCTTTTTCAGAACTGAGAAAATTATTATCATTGTTAATTTTATAGTTTGTTCCTGGCTGCAGTACAGATCCCGAAACTGCATATATTCACCGCACTAGGTTCTTTGCGGTCTTCCTTATCTAACCCTTCTGTGCTCACATGCTTTCATTTCCTCCTCATAAGATCGCTAACATGTCATTATGGGCACTGATTGTCAAATTGTCACCCCCACTTGAGGATATAACCGGCGTGTGATGTTACTTAACAGTCCAACTTACATACATTTTATTCTGAATATTTTTGGAGCAATAAATTCTCGGAGTGAGTGTGTAATGGAATAAGATAAGAGACTGATTGAAGAACCTTCAATAATAAGAAATAACTTATCATATTTATATAGTCTTACTCACATTTATGTTCGGTTAGGTAAGAGGAGGAGAATAAAGTATTCTAACTGGTTGAAGATTGGTCTAAGGTTAAACAAGTTGTGTCCAATTTAGGTTATTTCATGTCCACAATGTAAAATAAATCCAGATTTAGGGAATAGGCACTTCTATCTTTGCATTTAGCCATTGCTTTAAAGTGAAAATTTCAGTTTTCGCCGCTTCCTATTAATGTACACAACGCCACAAGTGTAAAACTTCAGCACTGTGGTAAAATGTAATTCTATCTTAGAAACGCTTATGTGGTATTTTGATGAGGTTGTGTTCTCTGAGCTAACTGGATAGTTGATTTGCGAAGCTTTCATCACGCTACTAGGTGACATGTTCAGCCCATACTTCAATTCATTGAAGTGAGCTTTCATATTTCTCCACGAGTTTATTAATCATCTCTCCCGGTGAGCTTGGATGTCATTGGTTGTTTTTGTGTGTCTTCACATCTTCTAGGTTACTTCTATTGGAACTGACAGTTTCCTTGACTTGAAATTTGACCCTTTGTGTGTGAAGATTCTTTCTTATCGGTTGATAAATTTTGTCTATCTCGATGTGTCTATTGATTGATGATTCACTGGAATACCAGGCAGTCTTATAAAAATTCTCTAGCACTCTTGGTGTTTCCTCTGTCTAATATTTGAACGTTGTCCCAGTCGAATTGATGTCAGTGGTTGTCTGTATGTAGTGATATGAGGGAGTGGATATCATGTCTTTTGACGGCTGGCTTATGCTCGTGGTTACGAAGAAGAAGGGGACGTCCACTTTGGCCAATGTAGTGTTTTTCGCACTTGTTACAATTTCTTTTGTAGATGATGTTGGTTTTATCTTCTTTCGCTGTTGAATCTATTGGTTGAGATAGAATTGAGTGAAGCGACTTTGTTGGTTTGTGTACGACGTCAATTCCTAGAGGTTTGTAGTGTCTTGTAGTGATTTCTGAGATATTTTTTATACATGGTAAGGCGATTTTCTTTGTGCTTTCCTTGATGGCTCTTGATTTGTTGGGTTGGCTTAGGGGTACATGTCTTTTGACGAAATTCCGTGGATATCCATCGATTCTTTTGGAAGACGTCCATGAGATAGTTTTCTTCAATCTTCCTCAAGGTGGGAGTGCTGCAATGAGTCCTGGCCGAACCTCTTGAATTGTTTTTGTATGCCATTCCTTTTGTGTGTTATTGGATTGATGCTGTTGTAATTCAGGATTTGATCTGTGTGAGTTGATTTATAATAAATTTGAGTCTCTCATTCCCCTGTGGTTGTTCGCTTGACTAAGATGTCCAAAAATGGGATTTGGTTCTCGAATTCCTCCTCTCTTGTGCATTTGATGTTATTGAAGTTATTGTTTATGAAGTTGTGAGTTTTATCTAACTCGTTTGTTTTGATTAATACTAATGTGTCGTCGACGTAGCGTATCCAAATCTTGGGTTTGATCTTTGGTAGAATTATGTTTTCGAGTCTTTGCATCACTGCTTCTGCAATCAAACCTGATATTGGCGATCCCATGGGTGTTCCTTTGACTTGTTCATATATTTGACCGTTGAATTGGTATAACTCATACTCATATAGTGTTAATCAGTATATGACGTCTCAGGCTACAGTGGTAATAAATTTTACGGGATGGGGTTGTCAGCTACATCTGGCCTGAGTTTCCCTCTTTACCAGTCTTATTACTGGCTTGGAAAGGTAAAAACGTGCGTCGGCCAGGAATCGAACATCGGACCGCCTGAGTGGCCGGCAAGCATTCCACCGCTGTGCCACTGACCCTCATTTCTATGCACCGCGATATAATGGTTTCAGAAGAGTGTACGCAGTTGGTTCAACCGATTGTCTAATCTACCACTCGCCATCATCAAAAATTGTCTATGTTTGTTTCTTAGCACATTTAAGACTTTCAATCTCATCTGATTGGCTGGTTCTGTACTTTACTAGATACAGTCACAAGCTTGAAAAAGATTGGAAGTTGGACACGGAATAGCATCAATCCCATCACTATAACAATTTCTAAAACATCAGTCAGTAGTAGTGTGTTAATAGTACCATTGAAAATAGTAATAAGAGTTATGTTGAATACCCTACAGTGCAATACAAGTCATAATTAGCAAATAACAATCAAATAATAATAATGACATCTGCATCATATGAAACTGAGATATTTGAACAAAACGGTATCAATTTAATGATGAAGCAGCTATTACGAGTCATTTCGATGACACTTCTTGTCAATTAGAGATAGGTTTAAGCGTGAATAGCAATCATATTCGCCCTTGACATGATTCAAGTGATACACTTAAACAAAATTATTCTTCAAAATGATAAACAGAGTGAAACCCCAACTGAGAACTCCTTAAATCTAATCCCATTGGTAGAGGGTGAATAAAAATCAATTTGCAAACAGTATAAATGCTCATCTGTAACCCCAGAAGCCCTAAATCTAACAAACTAATAATAGTTGGAAGAATGCAGTCGCTTTTATTATTATCATTCTGCCTGTCATCACTTTACATCAGCCTACAAAGTGTCAACTCACAACCATCAAGTCCAGAACTTCAGAATTTACAAAAACTACACAATGATTATCGACATAAAGTGATGAATTGTGAGCTGGAAAATCAACCGCCGGCTAAATATCTTCCAGATCTTGTAAGTTTATCGGCCTAACAGAAGCCATCACTTCTCTGTGTCTCTCCTCTAGTGTCATTGTTTATTTTAACTGTGATTTTCCATCTCTTCAATTTTCCGTCTTTCTTCATGTTTTTAGCAATGGGATAATGATCTCGCCTACCATGCTCAACTATTAGCCGACGAATGTGTATTTCGACACAATGATGTTGAATTGCCTCAATATAAATATGTCGGACAAAATATAGCCATTTATCCAACTGTTGAAAAGTAAGCCATTAAGACGAATATGCCATTTTAAAATAAATTAATTCTAATTTTAGAGCTGTTGCAGCATGGTTTGATGAGTATAAGGAATATGATTATAATACACAATACTGTTATGGTGTGTGTGGACATTATACGCAGGTAAGTTGGATATTTTTGTGTGTTTGTCAGTTGGTTAGCTGGTTGGTTATTTAGTTGGTTGGCTTTGAAGAGGAATGTGTCACTTTGTCCTCATTTTGATTACAAGTCACAACTAGGAGAAGTATCTTTAACTCAAATGAATTTTTATATCTCAGTGTTTCTATGCGATCTCAGCGGTCCTTCTTTACCGGGTTTCACAAATGTCAGTAAGTTCTCATCTCCTCCTCACATGAACTTCTCCACGTCGCCCTCTGGCAGTTGAATGCATTACCATATATATTCGTAATCTTTCCTTGTTCGAGTGTTTGGGCTTCCCAGTGGAACACGTAGATTTAGCTATGCAAACTACAGTGGAAGTGGTGTCGTCTTCTTAACACAGTCACTTTCCTAGACTCCTACCTACCTACCCTCTCATCTTTCCTAAGTGCATCAGTCAGATGTTAAACCCTAGGGCAAATGAGCAGGGGTTTGACAATTTCAGCTATTATAACACCGATTAAAAGGTGATCTTCACTGCTAGATGAGTAGAGACAATGTGAAATAGAGTACCTCAACATCGAGTCCAGTACCTCTAACATCTTAATCCAATACTACCGTAATTCATTAGGTAGACGTTCCCTGACATGGTTATATCAAAGAATAACTTTGGAGAACCGTTATATTGTTCAGCAGTTCACATTAAAATTGATATTTATGAATAATCCCTTCCTTTGTTGCTGTTGTTTTTCAGATGGTCTGGCAGAATACTACACACGTTGGATGTGGTCTGAGAAATTGTACACAGCGTTTAGGTTATCAGGGAATATCCGTCATTTGTAATTACGGTGAAGGGTAAGTCACTCCATTAAAGATACATTTAAGTGAATATCAATCATGATGTTATAAAAAATAGTATAGAAATAACACTAAAATCGTTCCACTTTTCTTCTCTATTCCAATGCCTAATGAAGTGGTAATTGGGGAGGCCAATATCCTTATGAAACAAAACCACGAAGTGAATGTGGTAAACCATCGACTCCAGTTCGAACAACCACACCCAAGCCAACTGTCACCACCACCAGAAAACCAACAGCGACACCATCTCGAAAGCCATCTGCTCCAGCGAAGACACCAAAACCCAACTGGGCAACAATTATATCTACCTGGAATCAATATGCTAATGCTAATCGTCTCCAAGGAACTGTCACACAGACATGTGTATGTGTTAACTGAAGACGAATATTCATTGAATCGTGAATAATTAATATTGACAGTGTTTTCAGAATAAATTCTGTTTTGCACATTTAATGAAACCGCCTTTATTTTTCTTCTGAAATGCAACTTGTACTGTGGTGGATTCAAGGAAACAAAGCGAAACTTCATCCCAAGACGAAATCATAGATGAAATCATCTTTGCAATAATAACAATAATAGCGGTATCTTAAAACAGGTCTTCATACGTGAAGAAGAATTGTCAAGTAGTCACCTTTTGTGAACACTCTTAAAGTGAATCATTAGTCGTTAGTAACAGGCTCAAAATAAACAACAATCATTTCCCCCTTATTTCCTTCTAAAATACGCATTCAAGTGTTGGCCCAAGTATACAGAGTATGATTCAAAGACGTAATTGAATGACTGAAACAATACGAAAAGTAGTATTATGGATCCTTTTTCATTCCGAGTGGAACACAGAACTTCAACGATACACCCCTCCTCATTTTTTTCTATTTCCTGTAGTCCTCTTTACATCACCTCACGAGTACCCATACATAGTCCTATATCTCCTCCGGGAACGATCTCCTCCATGTCACCCTCAGATGACCTACTCGTCGTTTTACAATCGAACCGTAGGCTCTTGATCATTTGTTTATCCTACCTGGGAATACAGTGTTGAGCATGCAGCGGAAGCAGCTATTAATTACTGTTTTTTATCTGTCGCGAATACTTCTCGTGATGTTCAGTGCGAATTCCTATCGCATATTCGAAGAAGTTACTTCACAGGTGTGTTAAAAATCCGAATCTTGTTGTTTATGCTGACTGAGTGTAGTAGAAGATTTCCAAATCGATTTCAGATTGATGAAGATGTATTGCGCCTGTCCGATTTTGGCTGACTGGCTGGCTGGCTGTTTGGCTAGCTTTGACATTTTCATCCGTGGTGACTGGCTGTGGTTGAAACAATGCTTCCTAGATTAGTGGTAGCAGTGACGTTTGTCAAATCCTTCGTGCTAGCAATCTTTCCTACCGGTTGTTGTTGATGTTGTTGGTTAGCTCGTCGATTATTTTCATCACCTCCATCTTGTCTGTGTTCACCTGAAGACCTGTCTTAACTGACCGCTTCTTCTGACAGTTTGTTTGGACAGAATAGGGTAAATTGGATGTATTTTGTTAGTCTCAATACTTCGCAACAGACTGATTTAAGCAGGCCATTATTATTAGTTACGTATAAGCAATACGTTGATGAATAATTCTCATCCAAGCGTTGATAAAAACAAGATGAGCTGTTCAGCTGACAGTCCGTTTTCAACAAATTCATTTTATCCACCTGCACAATCACGTTTATATACAAGTTTTCCACGTCAAGGTAGATAGTCAGAAAAATGATGAATGGTCATTATGAGGATAGTTGTTGATATAATTCAATACAAATGAGAGATTGAATGAGGGTTGCAGAATTACGCAACGAGGTGTTTAATTGAATAAGTGACCTGTAATCAGAATACACATAGAAACAATGAGATTTTATGTTACCTAGCAGTAAGTACCAGAAGATAGATAAGTCAGAAATGTCCAGAGAAATGAAATGATTTGAAGCGGTTAGATTAAACGTAATTGGGTGCATAGCATAATAATAATAATAGATATGGATAAACGACTTCCTTTTCTTTGCACAGATCCGGTCTCACCATCTAGACAGGACGAGATAGCACTGAGAAGGAAGTAAAAGTGGATCATCCTAGACAAGTTATGTTTCATTTTACCGATCACTTTGAAGAAGCGTTTCTGGATAGGGTGTCCAGTGTCTACAAGGTGTTCAACTATTTCACCATTTATGGAGCCACTACCACATATCAGCGACTATGTAGGATAGTGACCTGCAAACGTTTTAGGCAGGATACGTGAAATGTCTGCGTAGAAGTGATCAGATGCAAGATCTTCCTTTTCTGACTTCTGGAGATCAGTCGACAACTGGTGAACACTATCACTGGGGATTCTGAGAAGGGTTTCATTCTCAAAGTTTTCAAAATTACCCTCTACAATATATTGTAACTGAGTCTTTCTAGAGATCAAAGTTAATGTTAAGTTTCTTCTTTGGCAAAAATGACGTCTCCTTCATAATTCCGACGCGGATGCAAGATAAGCCACCGAGTTCAGCTACTTCATATTTATTTATAAGTTTAACTGTTCATTCGGAGACACTCACAAAGGTGTAAAGAATCGGCAATTCCACCATCGCCTTCTGGAGAACTGTCCAATATGGTTGAGCAAAGATGTCGTAGAATCAGTCAGAGGTTCGATCCTGCAGCATCTGGTGGACACGGAGTACAAGATTGACAAACATTCAGCTTTAACAATTCTGTAAAATGTGGCCAATTTAACTAACTTGGCTAGGATATCTACGGTTGTTAAACATAGTTGAGGCAGTCACCGTGGGAAATTTTAACTCGGTCTTTGTGTTAAGAAGAAGTCTCTCTAACCTCACTACCTACCTACCTCTTTCCCTCCCTTGATCAGCTTCACCCATGGACTAAAATAGTTATCTCTCCTGATAATGATAAGGTGGAAACAGCTTCTTCACCCTCTACCCCTAATTGTATAGACATTCTACCTATAGGCTCACTGTTGAATGAATTTATCCTAGTTATTAATAATATTATGATTCACTCGATTGTTATACATTTATTCACATCCCTGAACTCTGATCCCGGATATATTTGATCGCGAAGAAGACGAGCCAGACTTCGCGTCTAATGTTTCATTCATCTCAGTTAGGTAAACTTCTCAACGTAATCTAGTGACTTCCTTAAGTTGCCTAAACTACCCCTGTCTCAACTGTACCAATTATTTTGTCTCACTGATTGGGAGAAATGGCGTGAAGTCACCTCTTGTATCCGCTTGTGGTAACTTCGTCCTTCAGATATCGAGAAATAGTGTTTGTAGAGTTCCCTGTCTTCTACAAACATAATGGATTCTTCAAAGAGGTGTAAGAGATTGTGGATTAATGGCCAGAAATATCCACCAGGACATGAAAAAGAAATTATTTATCTGTCCATCAGTGTAGTCTTTGAAGTCTGTTCAAGGTAAAACTTTCCATCATCCCTTTTGTTGGAGGGTGACATCATCAATTTACTGAGAAGTCATCGTTATAAATGAAAGGGAAACCTGTGTTGATCGCGGACACAATAGAAGTGATAGTTTGAAAGAGGATGGGATAAGAATTGTCAGTAGAGGGGAAGTAAGTTGACTGAGTGTCCATTGGACGAGTGTGAAGGCAGTGCGCATAGTCAGTTTAATGTACAAAACTCAAGGAGGAGGAACAAACCAAACAATGAGCTGATTACTTCAAACGACTCTTGAATCGACCACCACCAATAACGCGCATAGAAATACCATCAGTAGCACACACAGGACTGCCTGCCAGTGGACGCCGATCCTCCAACTGAAGAAGAAATTCAGCATGTAACCAAGCTACCGAAGTCTAGCCTAAAAGGCGAATTGACCAGACGGCATTCTTCTTGAAGCACTGCAGAAGACTCCAGAGATTACCACAGATATTCTCACCCCGTTACTGTTTGAGTAAATTGTAAATCGACAGTTCATTTATAAATCGAGAAATTCAGTTCAACGTATTACCAATTCCCTCAAGTGACCAAGCTAGACAGAATTCGAGTGTTTCGAACTCATTCGGCCGTCTGAACTAAATCACTGCAAGGCCGCCATTGATGAACACCACCAAAGACAAGTAAAATAACAGTGACGTGTTTTGACCACTTCAATCTGGTTGCCAAACACTACTGGTTTGAATGAGTAGGATCCCCCTACTTATATCAACACATCAAATGTATATACTGTGAATTAGTTGTGTTTATTCTGACATTTCAACTTTTAAGTTTAATAATTAAAGAGGTTGTCAGAATCGGTGAAGATATTATCCTGATATACATACAAGTATAGGGAATTTCAGATTCATTAGCCTCCATTAACGCTGAATAATTCATATTTGAAGTTCTACACCTTAGAAGATAAAAGGATGGAGGCATGAATTATTTTTATTTCTCAATTAGGTCCCCATTGATGCGTCCACCCTAATGTATGTGGCATTTTTAACACAGTACAAAAAAAAACGTTTATCCACGTAGTGGTGATAAGTTTGTTAACAGTATTTGGGAAATATCGACACGTCAAGACGTCATAACACAACAGTGAAAGGGTTGAAATAATTTCAAAAGTTGAACAACTGGACTACATAATGCGTAATCTTGGAAAGATAAGGAGTAATTATGAAGTATACGGGAATTCGAATCGATTACATAATAAGCAATTAAAGATGAAGTAGTCGGAATAATGAAATAACTGAGACGATGGTAACTTAAAGAAAGAAAGCCTAGGGGGAGCAGGAAATTGTCCATCTTGTACATTCATGTAACGATGACCATGGTGAGGATAGTGACAGAAATAACTTTTTCCGAATAAATAGGCTTGGAGTTCTTTAAATAAAGTCTGATCAATTCAGCCTAATTTAGGAGGCGAACTCGTAAAGCAGAATTAATTTTGGTCGGAATATGGTATATAACTTTGAACATCTTATTAATATTAGCTTTTTGCTCACTATTTACATGGCATGCTGAAAAAGACAGGTTTGAATAGATCTTGTTTGTCCCTTGGCTAACCATACTGTAGCATGATATCCGCAAATACGATGATTGACTTGCATTTATGTCGCTAGCTTCGCAGAGTAGTCATACTGATAGATACGATGTTGAGGCCAAGCTGAGCAATTTATTCCCATTTTTTAAAGGTAAAATTAAAGTGTTTGTGAAGAGACAGCGTACCTCTGCCGCACTAAAAGCTATTTTAACTGTATTCCTAAGGCGCTCTGTTATCATGGTGCTGATGTTAACACCAATAAACTGAAGCTTCGCTAACAAGGACTGTAGCCACACTGAGGACCTTCTTGTGCTCTAAGTATCTAAAAGAGGACTGTTTCCATACTGAAATATTAGGATAAATAATTT